GGCCAAAGCCGGCGTGGGGCGGAGCCGAGGCGGGGATGGGTCCACGGGGGAGGGTCCCGATTTGCAGGCGCCGGCCCTGCGGGGCAAGACAAGCGACCGGGAAGCATTGGAGAACTGTGGACGTGCTTTGGGTTTACAGTTGGGAGAAATGGAGGCAGAGTCAGGGACATTCGGCCGTTGGGATTTGCCCCACTTCAGGGGACCGAGCCTGGATCAGCAGGAGGCTCTGAACAGGTGGGCGAGCTTCCTCTGCCCAGCACCCCCAGCCCTCGGGCTTTGCTGGTGTGGTCCACAAACTGTGCTGAAGGTGACCTGTGTACAAAGCAACCTTGAAATGTAGAGCGGGGCCGAGTGTGTGTAGAAGGCTTCCATTCCAGCTCTGGGGCTTCATTGATCACACCTCCCCAGCATCCTTGGCCACATCTAGGGTAGAAACCCGCTGCCTAAGCCCCTGCGGACCTGAGATAGTGCAGCTTCCAGACCACTGCAAATAGGACCAATGTAGCACTGAAGAGAGTCACACGACGCTGTTGGTTTCCGGAGGTATTGGAACGTTTTATTTACATTAGACTGTAGTTTGCTAAGTGGGGAATAGTCGTATGAAAGCATTTGCAATATTGTAAGGATTACCAAACCATGTGACCGAGAGACAAGAAGTGTGTGCAGGCTGTTGGGAAAATAGCACAGGTAGAGATGCTGACTTCCTGGTCCACAAAGGTGTTTGTTTTTTAATCATTTTATCGGGGACTAGTACAACTCATCACAGTCCATTGTGTCAAGCACATCCATTGTGTCAAGCACATTTGTACATTTGTTGCCATCATTATTTTCAAAACATTTTCTTTCTACTTGAGTCCTTGGTATTAGCTTCTCTTTTTTCCCCTCCCTCATGAACACTTGGACTGACCGATGTCTCCCTTCACCCACTTTTCTGTTGTCCATCCCCCTGGGAGGGGGTTATAGGTAGATCATTGTGATCAGTTCCCCCTTTCTAGCCGGATTTGTAAGGTAGAATTGAGGTCACGATAGTGGGGAGGGGGGTGAGAAAGCATTAAAGAACTAGAGGAAGGTTGTTTGTTTCATCGGTGCTATGCTGCACCCTGACTGGCTCTTCTCTTCCTTGTGACCCATCTGTAAGGGGATGTCCAATTGCCTACAGATGAGCTTTGGGTCTCTACTCTGCACTCCCCCTCATTCACATTGATATGATTTTTTGTTCTGGGTCTTTGATGACTAATACCTGATCGCATCGATACCTTGTGATCACACAGGCTGGTGTGCTTCTTCCATGTGGGCTTTGATGCTTCTGAGCTAGATGGCTGCTTGTTTATCTTCAAGCCTTTTAAGACTCCAGACGCTATATCTTTTGATAGCCAGGCACCATCAGCTTTCTTCACCACATTTGCTTATGCACCCACTTTGGTTTTGTTTTTAAAGACAATTGTCTGCTCAGTGCAACAAAGGGAAGAGCACTCAAGTGAGCCCGGTCTGCACTGGGCAGAGCTGTTTTTCCTTGTCCTCCTGGCCCCGCCTCTGCAGGGCCTTAGCTAGCGCAGGGCCAGGTCTCAGCTCAGTGTGACTCACTGTCCATATGCCTTCTGTGTCACACCGCAGTCCCGGCACTGCCG